CTTTCCCAGCTGTCAGTTCAAGTGCTTCCTAAATGAAGCTCACTGCCCTGCTCTCTCTATTGTGCCTGTGATGTCATTTTACCAAACATTTGTTATTTATGTGAACTTTGTTGAGTTTCTCAAGCAAGCTGAAATAAAACCCTCAAACAAAACTTTTCTCACATCTCCCTTTCTGTTTACTCTCAGTATGTAATCATACACCTTACTTTCCTCCTCTGCTTTCCCAGTTAGATATCTTTCATAGATAACAAGACCTCCCTTAGGCCCTGATTCAGCAGACCACTTACGCATGTGCTTAACTTCAAATACCTTTGTAAGAGCTTTTGCTGAATCAGGATCTTAGTATTTCTCCTCATCTAACTGCTGTTCTCCCATGGTTATTTCAGTATTTGCTTACAGGAAAATCTGAGCACAGAGTTCACGGGTGATGTCAGCAGGTTTTTGCCCCATCCAGCTGAAGTATTTAGGTGCACTCAGCAGAAGAGCCAGGTAATTCGATGCCAATGGGGCTCTACACTGGGTTTCTACCTCAAAAACAGTTTTGAATGTTGCTGCTGTTGGTGGGTTGTACCAGTGACTGGTAGTGGTAAGTGTGACAAACATGCTAGGACATGATGGTATCTAAACAATATAGTGTTTAATCTCAGGTCCCACCCAGACAGTTGGACTTACATACCAGACACATTCAACTGCTTCATTTTGACAAGATTGGTCCAAATGGCCGAGAGATTACTAAGTCTCCATACATATTCTTTCCTCAATTGCTGCTAAGTACAGCTGTTTTAAAAAATAAGGTTATTGCCCTTAATACACCGTTGATGTACAAATCCTTAATTCCTTTTCCAGGAGGCAGCAGGGTGATGAGTCTGTCATTAGTGTTAAAAAATATCTTGGACTGATGAAAATACGATGTAATTATTCATTGCAAAAAAAATTGGCCATAGTCCTCGCCAGTCATGCCAACCACTTCATTTTGATTATTTATTTACTTTTTAAAATCTTTGTTCATTTCTACTTACTTTCAAACTGCAACTACATCAAATGCTTTTTGAGCTGCAAGCTCATTGCAATAGCAATGAGATGTGCAGTCGTCTGCCTTTCTCCTGCTGAGCATGTGGAGGTTTGATCTTGTCAGAGGGACTACCTGGGGCTTTCCTTCTTGTCTGGTAAGGTCGTTGGAGACCAAACATCTAAGATAAGTGATGCAGTGAAATTCAAATGGAAATGCGTGACCCTCCACCAGGCTGACCTCCCATGATTTTTATCAACTGCATCATGAGATGCTGAAAGGCTGTAAAATTTAAAGGAGGAGAAAACAGGACCATCATATTTAGTACTTCTTTGATGCTCCTCCATGCAACAACCTATATAGTTGCCCCTGTCTCCGTTTAACACCTTCCCCTTTTCTGTGCTAAATGATTGAAGGCAACTGGGGAGTCTTGGTCATAGCACTTGATTTTTGGGGGCAAAGCAAGTGGATTAGAAAGCTCATATGTGTGACTCAGTGAACAAACCTCAACAAACTGGAAAGTATAGAGCAAACAAATTATGTCACATTGATTTTTCTTTTTTTTTCTTTTTTTTTTTTTTTTTACCTCTCCAATGTACATTCTTGCACACTCAAGTCAAGTGAGGGACAGACCAAATGTTTTTTCCCTGAAGTAGCTTGTCAAATCATAAATTCTTTTTGGCTTTTTTTTCTTCTTTTCCTCGCTCATTTGGGAGAGGAAGTTGATGGTTTCTAAAGGTTCATGTCATACAAAAAGGAGAACAAATACCCTCTTATAGGATCTAGTACCTGTCAGAATTGAATATATATTTTGGGGTAAATTGCAAAAACATTAAAATCTCTCTTCAAGTCCCACTTCTGCTTTGATGTGAACTGTTCAACTGATCACGGCAAGGCAGTGGGTGTTTGGGGTTCATTAAACTGCTGTTATCAAAATATGGTGTAACATTACCTCAGTAATGCTACATCTCTCTTTCTCCTGTCTAAAGCCTTTTAGGAATCAGAAAGCATTTTCTTTATTTTTGAAAGAGACTTCATGCATTCAAGATTTAATTAGAAGATAATAATAAGTATTGGAAGACAGCAACCTCCCTCAAACTCTAAGGAAGTTTGGGATTAGGCTGAAATATGCCATTCACAACAATAGGCCTTTCTCCAACTCTGAGTTTTGAGCTAGAATTTAGAAAAAATAAACACATTCCTCCTCATATGTTGAAGGCTCAACACTGACCTAATGACTCCATGGCAAGCTCAGGTCATCCCTATAGATCCGTATGAATTTGTCTGTGTTCATAACTACGTGTGCAGAGCTGGGTCTTGGCCAGAGGACTGGATTAGATGTAAATTTTCACCATATTTTGGGTTGCTCAAAGATCCCATTTGCTAGAATCAGAAGTAGAAGGATCAAGATAAGACATTTTGAATTACTCTGCCACTTTTGGTTTGTTACCAAAATAGCATGTAGAAAAAGGTAATGCTCTAAGATACCGA